TGACAATGCATGATTAATTTGTTCCGTGTATAAATGGTGAAGGTCTTGAGAGCTTGATGTTTGTCTCGTGTCCACTGGAGCTGTGCAGTTTGAACAGTTTTGCATTTAAATAGCACAGCTTCATGTGCAGATAACTAAAGAAACACGCGTTCATCTGCAGGATCAAGCAAGATGCATGCCGTACTGAAGAGGTGTGCTAATCCCAGCATCTCTGTGGTTAATTCTAATTACTGTCATTAAACACTTGCTGGGATATCCGTTTGTATTCCCACTCACAAAGTGATGAAGCTCCTCCAGGCTTCATCAAGACTTGTGAAGAGCCATCAATGCAACAGGCTCGCTGAGTGATGATGGAGCGCTGGTGGGTGTAGGAGGACTGTGTGGAGCAGGAGACACTGCCGCTTAAAATGATGCGTCAGACTTTGGTAGAAACCGGAAACCTCTTCCTCGTATCCCCTGCCAATAGCTCATGTTGTCATTTCTTTGATGCTGCACAGAAAAAGTTAGTTGTCCTGCATAACTCCATCCATCCATTAACTACACAACTTAATCCTCACTGGGGTCATGGGGGGCTGGAGTCTATCCCAGCTGACTCAGGGTGAAGGCAGGTTCACCTGGACAGGTCACCAGTCTATCACAGGGCTACACTTAGAGACAGACAACCAAGCACACTCACATTCACACCTACGGACAATTTACAATCACCAATTAACTGGTGGAACTCTGGACTGTGGGACAAAGCTGGAAAACCACGCTGAGAACATGGACACCCCACACAGAAAGATCTCGGGTGTCCTCACCAGGAGGCGAACTGGCGACCTTGTAGCTGCGAGGCGATGGTGCTAACCACTGAGCCACCTTGCAGCCCTGCAGCATTCATGCGTGATGATATTGTTTAAATTTTAATTATAGCAGAATTCGGGTTGGACGCTTTCAGAATCTGGATTTAAGATTATAATGTTCATATTTTATTTTATGGTTGGGGCTACAGGGTGGCGCAGTTGGTAGCACTGTTGCCTCGCAGCAAGAAGGTCGCCGGTTCGCATCCCGGTGGGGGCACCGGGATCTTTCTGCGTGGAGTCTCCATGTTCTCCTCGTGCAGCGTGGGTTCTCTCCGGGTTCTCCGGCTTCCTCCCACAGTCCAGAAACATGTTGAGGTTAATCGGCTGGGATAGGCTCCAGCCCCCCCGCGACCCTAATGAGGATTAAGCGGTGTATAGAAAATGGATGGATGGATGGATGTTCATATTTCATGGTTTTCATATATAAATATATATGCATATATCTTTTCTATATACCCCCCATTCAGAAGCCCATTTTCATATTCTGTTTGCACTATTCTCTTTGTTTGCACTATTTCTTATATTTATATGTACATTTTTTTCTGTCTCGTGTATATGTATCTCTGTCTAATGCTGCTATCAACAATGTGAATTTCTCCACTGTGAGATAAATAAAGGCATATCTTATCTTATCTTATCTTATCTTATCTTATCTTATCTTATCTTATCTTATCTTATCTTATCTCATCTTATCTTAATCAGCAGAATATGTGGAATTACAGGCATAATAATAAACATCCTTTATAGAGCACAATTAAAAAACAAAGTCACAAAGTGTTTTGCAATAGAAAGATAAATATACATAAATAAGTAATCAGATATATGAGATGTAAACAAGATAAAATAGTTTTTAAATTCACCATCTGTTAATGAAAAGCCAAACAATCAAAGTGAGTTTTAAGAAAAGATTTAAAGGATAAATTTCCTGCTATGTAGTTAATATAACATGTAAAGTTTTTTTTTTTCAATCTTTTCCTCTTTCATGCGTCAGTATTATGCCTCCAGGACTATTACAGTTCTGTTCAGTGGCGTGCTGATTCTCTGCCGTTTGCTGTGAATTGCCTGTGAGCCACAAGAGGCTGCAATTTGGCCACAAATAAAGACAGGCTGGTCTTTCTTCTGCTCAGAGCTGAATTGCCTCTCAGTGTCACTGCATGCTGGGTCCAGTACAAATGAGTCATCTGTACAGTTCATAATAAACACATAAAAAGAAAAGCATTTTAAAAATTATAGCGGTCTGTGTCGTTCCATTATGCGAATAAATATATTTAGAGTTCTGACCTTTAAGAATCTGCTGCAGTTACACAGCGTTTTATTCTCTTACCGAGCCTCATTCAAAACTTTAATAAAGCTTTAAGGGCTCTTGACAATAGATCTGCTTTCTGTTTTTTTCCTCTCCTGTGGTACAATTAAATGTTCCATTGGCGTCCTTGTAGGCTGCATTGATCCTCTGCTGTGGTATTTATAGAGTTTGCTTTGAAAAGGTATAATGAGAACACCACAGACTCAGCTCACAGGGGCTCATGGCAGCAAGTGGGTGATGCCTGTTAAATGAGGTAAAACTTGTTTAGGATGGTTTAAGTTACTAATGACCATCTAAAGCTAATGATAAATAATATTCTGCTGTAACACCTTCACTAGTCTGATCGTGAGGCAGTCTTAGGCCAGACTCATATATCAGCAGCAGCATGTATTTGGTGAAATTTGCATATGCATACATAGTAAAAATGTAGGTTATGCAAATAAACGGCCCCACAAGAGGCTGTAACTCATCCCCGGCCAAAAGGCAAAAAGAGGGGACATAAATATGTGAGGGGACTCCTTTGTTCGACGTTTAGTCACCTCTGTGGCCCCTGGAAAACCATTAAACGAGGAGGACTTCTCCCAGGAGCCCGGCATTCCTCACATTCCTCCGGTCTGATGTCAGAGCGCAGGGGGGCGGAGCTCCGGAGGCACCGGGACCCACGCTGCGTTCACGGGCCGCGCCAAGGCTGGGACGTCTGAGGTCTTGGAGGAAACGTATGCGACATATAGATGCATGCACATGCGTGTTTATGTAGGAAAACAGACTTAATGACGTGTGAAAAAGCCAGTAAATGAAAGCCTACCGGTGGTTGACAACTTCTATTTTTCTTGTCACAGAAGTTTCATAAAGTCTCCCGTACACTTTAACATGCAAGAATACTTTTAGTTGGACCTTTATTGTACTTTAATATCATCATACTTTGTCTTAAATGTTCTTCATCACAACCTGGTATCCGCTTGCCTGGTTCCTGGTGCACAACCCTCTACTCATACCACAACGTTAACCCACGTATCCACAAAAAAACTGAAAAAATCTGCGACCAACAATGTAAAATATTGCAATGTAGTTTTTAATTTGTTAAATGTTTGTTGTGTAATAGTTTCAAAACACGTAATGGATTGTTAGGACATGAAACACAATTAAAATACTGACTTATCTATATTTTAAAGCAAGAACTGAAAAATAGAGTTTCAAACGTGAATTTTCACAAAAACTGTGACTCTGTTAAATTAAATGAATAAAGTCATTATAACGATTTAAAAAAAGGAATGTAAATAAAAAATGCATGGAACGTTTTGTAAACAAGTTTGGACAAAGTTATTCATTGTTCAGGAGCAAAGTTTTACACATTTTGCTATCAAGTTAAAAGAAGAAATCAGAATCAAAATTCAATTTTGGGTCAGGTCTGCTTCATAAATCATTTCTTGCTTTTACTTCATATTGTGTCGTTGCTGCTTGTTGCTTTAGCAGTTTTTCCTCTCCTTGCTCTCATATTCGCCCTCAGCCCGACCAGTCGAGGCAGACGTCTGCCTCCCTGGACCTGGTTCTGCTGCAGATTTCTTCCTGTTAAAGGGGGTCAGATCTCTCCACTGTCACCAGTATGCTCACTCATACAGCGTGTTGGGATTTGCTGGGAGCTGCAAAGTGGCTCGGTGGTTAGCACTGTCGCCTCGCAGCTAGAAGGTCGCCGGTTCGCGTCGCGGTGAGGACACCTGGGATCTTTCTGCGTGGAGTCTCCATGTTCTCCCCGTGCAGTGTGGGTTCTCTCCGGGTTCTCACGCTTCCTCCGACAGTCCCGAAACATGTTGAGGTTCATTGATGATTCTAAATTGTCCGTAGGTGTGAATGTGAGTGTGCTTGGTTGTCTGTCTCTAAGTGTAGCCCTGTGATAGACTGGTTACCTGTCCAGGTGAACCTGCCTTCACCCTGAGTCAGCTGGGATAGGCTCCGCCCCCCATGACCCTAGTGAGGATTAAGGTGTAGAGATGATGGATGGAAGTTAATTTGTAGAAAGAATAAATGAGTCAGATTAACTTGTATTTTATCTAATATTGTAGGGCCTTTATCTGATCATGTAAACTTGTTAGAATGACCTTAAGACCATTCTTGGTTTTTTGTTTTTTTGTTTTAATTCTAGACAGCACTTGTGCTATATAAATACTGACTTGACTTTAGACTTGACCGCTGGACTGCTTTTAAAAGTGTTTTCTGATGAAACTGATTATTATCATCATATTATGAATTGCAGCCTTTGAAATTTGGTAATTGCATTAATTAAATTGAAATTGTTCAGCTTGACCACTTGAACTAAGTACAACTTTCAGCATATGTTTTTTAGTGACTGGCTTTTAACCCAGCATGAGACCTCGCTCTGTTTTAGTTGTTTTTATTTGTTCTGTGCTGTTTTTATTGTTGGTTTGTTTTGTTGTTTTTATGACCCCCATGTACAGCACTTTGTTTCAGCTGTGACTGTTTTAAAACGCTTTATAAATAAAGTTGATTTGATTTGATTCGATAGGTTGACCACTGAAATAAATACGTCTTTTTCTCCTCCAGTTGTTGCATTTTAATCATTTCATTTAAAATCATAAAGTGATTTTCAAAACAAAAGCAAAGATTTAAAAAAAAATGGCATAATTCAGTGTTTCATTTTTTCCTCCTTTCATTGTTGAATCAATCCCTTCAATTATATATATTTTTTTAGGGTCACAGACCTTTGCTTTCCATGTCATTCAAAGCAAACGTGACTTTTCCTGCACTGTGCGCAGCCCCTGAACGCAGCACGCGCTCCTCTCCCCGCCCGTCCTGAACGCGTCCATTGGACTGGAGGGAGCTCTACTATAAACACACCGAGTCCCAGCGAGACAACACCACGTCCTCCTTCTCCAACTTTGTCCAACTTTCTCTCACTCATTTTTTCTCCCCCTCCGTGTGTGTTATTTAAAAAAACAAACAAAAACAAACAAACAAGAAAACTTTGAGCTCCAGCTTCGGGACTTTGTGTGCGCCTGGCTTTGCGACTTTTTTTTTTTTTTTCCATTTTTTTTTTCTCGGTTGCTCCAAAGTTTGCTATGATAAGAGACTATCGAGATTTTTTTAATTTATTAATTTATTTTTCTGCTGCCCAAACAGGATTGTAAAGTTCTTGAAATATGAGGATTATTCATTTGCTGTGAGCTTCATCGCCGTCGAGTAAGAAAAAAAAAAAAGAGGAGTTTCTTCTTCAGCTGGGAGCAGAAGTCGGCATGTAGCGCAGGATCAGGGGTGAGTTGCAGAAAAAAAAAAAAACTAACCAAGAGAGAGTGTTGTTCTGCCTTTTTTTTTTTTGCGTGTGTGAAGGATTTAAAGTGTTTATAAGTGGTGCTGAAATGTAGGCCAGATGGTTTGGGCCACGTAGGGCAAAGAGAGAGAGAGAGAGAGGAGATCCCAAATGTTTTCATGCCAGGCCCCCACCCCCTCCATCCATCCATCCATCCATCCATCCATCCATCCATCCATCAGACAGAGCCTCTGCATTTGATAAAACCTGTAATTTCTGCAGAGAGAACAGTGTGAAAGCAGGAGTCACACCTCTAATCTGAGCAGATTCCTCAGAGTTAATGAGCTAAAGGTGAAATTAGATCCAGTTTAGCAATGGGAACATACAAAAAACCAGCTAAGATCCACATGTTCAGCATTATTTCATATGTTACCAATACTGGGGGAACAAGAGGTGCCTCTACATACTCTAGTTCTGTCACCATTTCTTAGATTCATTGGTTTCCATACTTGCTTCCTGTCTGCTCTGCGTAAACACAGCCTGCAGTTCAGCCTAAAAGTCCTTGAATTTTTGTCACGTGACTTTTGGTCTCAGTGAAGTCGTAAATAGCTTCACTGTTTTGGAGGGCTGCACAGAATTTTTTGCTTTTTACAGAATCTTGTTCGACGAAACTGTTGATTTTTGGCAAATTTTTAAATGAGTTTGACAAAATATCTTCATTTGAAGTCCGGTTTAGCAAAGGGGACGTTTAAATTTGCGACACCTGGATCGTCTGCGTCCTCCTCTGTTCTTTAAATATCTGTAAATAACTTCCTGCGATGCCCTTCACATGGATCGAATGCGTTGCGGCGATGGGTTTGTGGTGACATTCCCACATTGTCGTCCTGCCTCTGTACCTACATGTTTGTGTCAAAAGATGTGTTTGGACTTGCACCTTTACCATTACTGTACAAAGGAGAAAAAAAAGGGGGGGTGGGTAGAGTTCTGTAATGGCAAATATAGCATAGCTGCAGGAGGCGTAGGCTGCACACACACACACACACACACACACACACACACACATCTGGCTGTCTTTATAAGCTCAAAGGCATGCTGTGTAAATTATATGGTGCCAGAGCAAGTGGCTTGGGGAGTACACAGCACTTTTTAAAACACTGGTGGAGAATTTAAAGGACCAAAAGTTCAGTCGGTGGAGGCCGTTGAAATGTCTAATATCTGCTTCAGCCACCGTGCGCTCATCAAAGTCGCCCGAAAAGGCCTGTTTTGTCAAAGGTCAGCGTGGTGAGATTATAATAGGTGTTTACTGCATAATGTGAGCCTGCATGAAAAAGGAAAAGTGGCTATTGTTTGTGCAGCCAGTGGCCGTTCGAGTCGAAAGGCCATTTGATTGCTATGTGGTGCAAAACATACCTGTAATTTTGGTCAAGACCTCATGCTTGTAGTGCAGAAAGAGAGAGAGAGAAGAAAACCAGGCAGCAGCAGCAGTTATTGTTGTTATTGTTCTCGCAGTTTGACCAAAGCTGAGCAGCAGAATTCCTTCAAACTGGGCCTGCGGTTCCCTTGTTATTCCACTGCAGAGCGGACAGGGTGCAGAAGGCTGGGACCGGGTTTTTCTTTTATTAAAAGCCTGAATCGATGACTGAGATGCTGCGATGCACCGTTCAGCGGTCTGAAACCAACCCGCGGAACCCCAAGCAGTCTCTGGAGCCGTTTTAGTTGCTCCTGTCACAGTTTTACTCACTGTGGGCTAATCTTTCACTGCCACATAAAGTTCTGCGCTTCTGTGGAAACAGCACAATTATGGCTGCATGTAGAGGAAACTCAGAAATATCCTCTCTGCAGTGCCACTCTGGTGCATTGCTGTGCATCACAGAAAACTAAAATGAAAGTTTAATTTCTATTTTTGTAGGAATTGAAACAACAAGGAATCAGCGTGTGCAACATTTTTCCGAATGCACACAGGTTTTACCGACG